ATACAAACCTCTTACAATCGGTAATATGCACAAAAAGGAAATATATTCTATTAGAAACATATAAAAAGGTAACTTTAATTATGTATAATTTTATCTTGTAAAAAAAAAAAGAAAAAAAAATAGAATAATATTTCTCTTGCCGTGTAAAAAATTCGATTTAATAAATAAATTAAACTTACCCTTCTTTTAGCACCACAGGTTGTTCTTGCAACATCGTAGGTCGTTGTTTCGTAGCACCGCTACTGCTACTAGTCGATATTAGTTCCAAAAATTGTTTAACAGCTTGTATATGTCTTTCCGTATAAAATTCTCTGAAAAAATGAACTAGGAATTATACTAGAAAATATGATTCATTCTCTATTAATTATTATGCACACATTCATTTAATATATATTTATTATTGATTACATACCTATATACACACTCCATATATTCTTCTTTACAAACGCTACCAGCTCCTCCTCTGCAACTCACTAAATTTCCTAAACTTTGTATGGTTTTAGATATCAATGTTAACGTTCTATTCGTTTGAGAATCCTACAAATTAATATATATTTAAAAATATTATATATAAATTTGTAAAAATTATTATACAACAATTACTTACAATTTGTTCCGTAGTGATGTCAAACAATCTTGGTCCCAATATCGCAGGTGCGAAAAATCGAAGAAAAATAAAACCGCTTATAACCGAGTAACGTACTTCTTTATTCTTTGGAAAATGAGTTGCAGCGAGTTCTCGTAAACACCAGAACATTTCACACATCAATGGCGGACATCTTACACCGGATGTTGTTATAGCCGTGAATACTCTTTCTACGTATTCCTAAAAAATTACGATTCATTGCTTATAGATATAGAAAAGAAAAGAAAAGAAAAGAAAATAAGAAGATAAATTAAGAGATTTCATTTCAATGAAATATTTTTTATTTCAATCATTTTATTACCTTTAGATTTGCTAAATTTGTTTGTATCGTATTTGCATCCTTTACTCTCGTAGGATCTATTTCGCACGGTTTCCTTTCCAAAAAAACCTGTTCCATAGCAGGTCTTAATGTACTATGTAAATAATGAAGACCAGCTAATCGCATCCCTTCATCCATCATTTTACTGACTAATGTATTGCCGCGAAAAATAGTTGTCGGATCTCTGTAAAATAAAATAATAATTCTACATTATGTATATCGAAATGTAATATATATATATATATATATATATTTTTAAAATAAAACTTACGTTAGTTTAGAAATTTCATGACTTGCGAGTGCTCGCATCACAGATACTAATTGTCCATGATGAACTAACACTCTAACTAATGGTTGTGCAGCTTCCATTTTAGAAGCCACAATTTCACCCAAAATATATACAGCAGATGATGTTATTGGTTGAACATTAACACTTTGTAATAATAAAGTTCGTAATCTCTCATACATTCCAGAAGGAAAAACATGATCGGCTGTATAATGTATTTTTAAACGTAAAGATCCTAATCCTGGAAGAGTACCAGGTGGAGTTGAATTACTTGAAATTTTATTTGGTCTATGTTTTGCTGCTCTTGGTTGAAGAAAATACCTAATGAAATAAAAATTAAAATTAGAAAAAAGAACTTAATTTAACAAATTAAATAGAAAGGTAGAGATATAAAATCAAACATACCAAGCAGTCGTTGTACTAGTTGGTTGCTTTTGAAGTCCTCTTAATGTAACACGCACTTCTCCTAAAAATGCAGGTTGTTCTCCCATACCAGGAGATGCATGCCATAAGCCAACAACAACTTCACCAACTTCTCCTCCATCGATAGAGTAATGAGATACATCTTTGTCTTTATATTCCATTAACTCTGGCTGTAAGTACAGTACAATTATACAAAATATATATGAAAATATTAATTTAAATAAATGCAATCGTACAAATAGTATACACACCTCAAAAACAAATGTCTCATTGAAGTAAGGCGATACAGTTTTTTTCTTAACTTTAGTACGCTTTGATATTTGTTTGCCATTACTGTAGATGACGGTAACAGTTGCAAATGGATCACAGCCACCATTTTTAATAGTTAATTCGTTACATTCTATTACTCTGTAACATGCACGCATAATCAAAATTAGGTATAATAATAAATCAACTCTTAAAAATAGAGTCAAGAATGTTGATTTACCTGACTGTAAGTTTAGGTTGAATGTGTCCAACTTGCGGTTGCAAAGCAAGTTCTAAATGAGCTTTGCCTTGTACTTCAGAATCAGCATCAACTGGTTTTAATGGGAACCAATGTTCTTTATTATGATACGTCGTTAAATCTTCCCTCTTTATTGCTACTTTTCCCAGAATTTTGTCTTGTTTTAAGTGCCTATCTCTATCATAGACATAAATACCAAGGTATCGAAACTTGCGGGGTACCTCGAACTGAAACTCCTCCCCGAAGAAAGGACTGCATAAAATGAAATGTTTTTTTCAATATCCGATGATTGTGGAAAATTAAAAGGGAATAAAACAAGAC